GAGAAGAATCAGAAAATGTCATCAGAAATCAGAAAATGGGGCTGGAGAGATAATATAGCCGGGAGGCCGTCCCAGGTTCAGTCCCTGGCATCCCATGTGGTCCCCCCAAAACCACCAATTCCTGAGCTTAGAGCCAGGAGTAACTTACCCCTGGGCATTGCCAGGTGTGGCCCAAAGACAAGCAAACAAACCAACTTTAACTGTTGCTTATAACATAGAGGGCATTTTATAACTCAGTCGGGAACCGGGGGAGTCTTTAGAGCCCAGTTTAAGATTAAAGTAATTCTTTGTGTTTGATTGCATTAATGAGCTGGTTGAGGGGTACAGTGGTAGAGGAAGGTGGTTGGCTCTCTTGGTGTCAAAGGGGTCTGGCCCTGGGGAGCAGACAACACAGGTCAGGCACCAGAATCCTGTGGTGTTGATAGTGGAGAATGTAGAAGTTTGGATTGCTGGCACCCGTCCCCTGGGGTTTGTACCTGTTTGTTCTGGGGTTTGCTCCTGTCTGTTGAGCCTTCAGACCTGAGACACCCTAACTGTAACGGTGCTGTGCTTGCTGCACTGCACCAAAGCCAGGAGTTGCTTTGTGTTGGTTGTGTGTGTGTGTGTGTGTTTCCTCTTCTGCCTTTCTTTTTTCACTTCTTCCTTTCCCCCTATCTTTTCCATCTCCCTCTTACAGGAGTGAACCTGTCGCCAGCCACAATCCCTGTCCTCTCTATGGCTGTGCAACACCCGGGGCTGCTTGAGGTGTTCCCCAGGCTGATCTCTTCTCCCTCTGCTTCTGTCCCCAAACTCTGCTGCCTTGCAAGGCAGCCAGGAAACTGCCTTTCTTCTGGACGGTCGGATTTGGAGAAGCCTAATGTCTGATTCATTTGCCTTGGGCCGTGGCCACTCCTTCAGCTGCCATAAAGAAGCTGGGACCTTGCTCCCCACTGTGGTTCTTCATCACACCCTGCCTTCACAGGTCCTTCTGGTTTTAACTTGTTCTCAGAAGCATGTAGAGGTGTAGCCCCAGGGGGCAAGGGTTACCTCAAAACAAATACTTTGCTTGGGATTTTGACCAGAAGAGTCCTCTGCGCAGTGCTTCTTGGCATAAAGAGAAGTCTCAGGAGCCAGATGTCCTTTGCACCTCTCCTCGGAAGCGCTGATGCCCTAACACTTGTGCCGAGGGGGCCCCTTGGGCAGAGTCAGACAGAGCAGTGCCTTTGTGGTTTTCTTTCACTGCTGGGGTAGGGCGGGCCTCTAACACTAGAGCCTTGACCTTGGACCAGGGCTTTGCCTGTACTTGTGAGTAGAGAAGGTGCCCCGAGGCACCTTTTCCAGGGGCCATAGTATAGCACAGAAGGTAAGAAGACACTTGCCTTGTCTGTGACACCCCATATGGTCTCCTAGCCCCCTCCGAGCACTGCCAGGTGCGGCCCCAAAACAAGAAAAATTAAGATTCCGTTTTCAGGGCCCATTTGTGGATGGTTCCTGGCACAACTTTCTGAGGCCTGTTTAATTCTATTAGGTTGTTACGGCCCTGGCTGCGGGGGCCGGTGGGGGAGAGACATTCTCCATGGAGCATACCCTAGAAGTGAGTTTTGGCTTGGGCTGGCTTGTCAGGGCGCAGGTCTGACAGTGATTGATTGTAAGTGGACTGACTCATGATCCCGGGACGGACTGCAGAGCAGATGCACTGCCCTCTGGCTGCTGGCAGGGCACTCCTCTGGGGATGGCTCAGTCTGCTGGTGGCCAGCTGGGCCTCTGGAGATGGCCAGAACCCGCTTCCATCAGGGCTGCTGGTTTTGAATCCCATTCCTGAAGGGAATGGAAGAATTCCTCCATGGCTCTGACTAACCCCTTTTGCCTGGTGCTGTAGCGTGTGACGGTAGTGTTAGTTATTGGAGTGCCAGTGGCAGCAGCATGGACTGAAGGAAGAAAGGAGCAGTATCCTTACCAAAGTCTGCACAGCAGCACGAAGGGGGTCACACAAAGCCTTACTACTACCATTGTTCTAGGTTTACTACTAGAGTTCCTTAACCTCCCTGACCTCCTTTGACCCCTAACACCCCCCCCCCCAAAAAAGCTACTTTGTATAGGATTAGTGTGAGCAAAAAAAAAAGTGGGAAAGTATATTGGACAGCAGTCAGGTATTATAATGTTAGCCTATTTTTGTGTTTGTGTTTTCTTTTTGTTTTTTTCGTCACACCAGGCTGTGTTCAGGAGTTACTCTTGGCTTTCTGTTCAGGGATAACTCCTAGCAGTGCTGGAGGACCGTATACATGGTCCCAGGGATTGAACCCAGATTGACTCGGTGCAGGGCAAGCACCCCACTCTTTCTTTCTCTCCCTCCTCCCTCTCTCACGCATGTGCACTCGGTCTTTATCTCTCATCCCAGCATTGTTTTAAAGTCAGTAGTTTAATAGTTAAAAAAATAAAAAGTGATCTCATATGATAGACCCATTTGCCTCTCTGTCTTCTTTGGTCCTTATGCTGTTATGAAAGTGAACATTCAAGAAAATAGTTTACAAATGTAAGTGCTTTCCTATACAAATGTTCGACTTGGGTTCCTCCTCCCACCCCCAAAACAAAACAAGAAACAGCTGTTCTGACCCTGTCTGCCCAGGCCCTGCTGCCTCTGGGTAGGCGAATGCTTTCTAGTTTCCAGAGCATCCCCTTCTGTGCTCCCTGCACCTGGAGTTTAATGCCCACCTGGCCTGTGGTAGAACTGGTTCTGACCCCATGTGAAAGAAAGCCTCTGTCCATGTCCTCAGATGATGAAGACCGTACATTCATGATGGGGTCACCTCAGGCAGTCTTACTTTCAGGTTGGAGCAAAATAATACAGTGTGGGACTTTAGAACCCTATGTTATTTGTGAAAAGCTTTGAAAAAGCCCTTAAAAGGAATGGTATTAGACTATGTGAGACATAGTATTAACTTAAGCGGTAATCTAGTGTTTAAAAGCTTAATCGTGACAGACTTTACTGTGAGCACAAGTTCTCTCTGAGTATCTGTCAGTTCATAGAAACCGACCAAGTCCTCCTCTTATTTCAGTGCCTCTTTTCTGTTTGGTCAGTAAACACGATCCTTTCTAACCAACTTGTGTTCCAAGGCTCTTGTTGTAGCCCGCTTCCTAGTCTCCAGAGGAGAATTCATGGGTCCTACAGAGTAAGTCTGTTGTGCTTGCCTAAATACACTTTGATTCCTTCAGAAAAGCAAAATAATGACTGAGTCGAAAGTTTGTGTATGGGAGCCCTGAGTTTGAGCCCTACTAGTGTAGAGACCCCCGAGTAACTCAGGCCTTGACGTGTTTGGCCCTAAACAAAATAAAACAAAAAGATTCCATGAAATACTTTCAAAACAAACTGGCATACCTTTATGAGTATTAGAAAATAGATTTAGTCAAGAAAGATCTCATACTGATAAAATGATTCAATTTACTAGAAAGAATTCTTGATTCCTTTGATAGTCAACAGATCAGATCAATAAGAATTTAGAAAATTTAGACAGTGTTGTTGACGTGCTTGAACGGCACCCATGAACTGAGTAATACAGTTCCCTTTTCCAGATACTCGAGGATATGTAAAAACGGCTACATGGAACCATGAGGGAGATTCAGCCATGGTTCTGGACTCCTTTGAAAATCCCATCTAGCTTATATGGGAGTCTCCCAGCTCTTGCCATCTGAGGCTGCTTAATTTTTTTGTCAGGTGGAGGACTTGAGCCCCACCCAGTTCTTCCTGCTGTTCGTGTGATTTCTCCTCTTCATGCCTCCGGATGCTGCCCCACGTCCCCACAGGACACCCCTCATTAAGACTGTTCTCAAGTCTTGCACAGATTTCCATGTGATTTTCTTCCCCTCTCCAGCAGCTTGCTGCTCTTGCCTTCAGTGAAGCCAGTTGAGGGAGTTGGGAATTCCTGGTACTCGGCAGACCCAGGTTAATTCCTCAGCACCCCATATGGTCCCCCGAGTCTGCCAGGAGTCATCCCTGAGCTCAGAGTCAGGTGTAAGCCCTGAGCACATCAGGGTGTGGCCCAGAACAAAGAAAGAAGAAAAAAGCAACATGGGAGGCAAGTGAGGGAGGCAAGTCGCCCCCAGAGAGTTGGACTTTGCTGGTGCTGCAGCTTCCAGCTGCTGCCCAGCAGGTGGATTTTCTCCCAGAGTGTGGAGGATTTGGGGGGTTCCTGGTGCTGAGGGTCATCCACAGGCTCGGATCACCAGCCAGATCTGCAGAGATTAGGCTTCTGCCTTTGTCTTAGCCTCATAAAGGTTCAGGAAGATAACACTACAAAACGTAAAATATGATCATGGAGAACCCATAAAAAGGAGCACTTCTTGCTGGGAGCAGATGATAAACTGGTGTGTGTGTGTGTGTGTGTGTGAGAGAGAGAGAGAGAGAGAGAGAGAGAGAGAGAGAGAGAGATCAAAGAAGACTTCACAAAGGAGAAGTGAACATTCAATTCCAGCTGGATTTCATAGGCGAGTAGTAGTTTTGCAAGGGAGAAGGCATTACAGGCCGGTAGAACAGCACGCCAGGTTGCTGGGGGGTGGAGACTAGTGGTTGGTAGACTGCAGGCTGGGGGGCTAAGCGGAACCTGAAAAGAAAGGGATGGGCAAGGGATACAGAGGCACTTAGACTCACCAGTGACCAACAGCTGAAGAACTTCAGCTGGGGAAGTGACACGGTCACGTTTATGATTTAAGCAGCTCTGTGAAGGACAGATTGGCGGCCTGGAGACTAGCTGGAGGCTTTGCAGAGCAGCAGCTGAATGGAGAGGAGATCTAGAACTGTCGCCGTCACCTTGGGGGTGGAATGAGTTGAACCTGCAGAAAATCAGGACCCCCCAGCCCCAGCGTGTGTATAATCAGGGGTGCTCCACACCCCCTGCCTTGAAGGACAGGCTCATTTCCCTGGCCAGAGAGAGGACACTGCCCCTATTAGCTCTGAAAATAAAGACATAAGTTTTTATTTGAGAGAGAATTTTTTTCCGCTTTTTATATACATTTTTTTCCTCTAGGAAATAGACAGACGGTTGGAAAAAAAACTGAAGATCACACAAAAGGAGAGGTAAGGCTGCTGTCTGGTGTGAGGACTCCTGCTCTCGGCCACCTGAGAGCTGGGCAGTCAGTGGTGTCCCCCAGCTGGCCGTTAGGTGGAGCAGCTCCTGCCCCTGCGTCCTCCCTTAGTGGGCGTCCTGTGTGAAGCTGTTAGACGGAGGGAGGTGACGAGACAGAAAACTGGGGTTTTAGGCTCTGCCCCAAGTTGCTCTGAGAAGTGGACCAAAGTGTCTTCCTCTGGAGGCCTCAGTTTCTTCTTCTGTGACTTAAGGAGATTGGACAGATGACTTCTCTGGGCCTACCACGACTTGGTGGGAAGTTCTAGGAAGACCTTGCAGGGTAGTTTTGCTTCCCCCAGAGCAGCAGGGGAATGTTGGCTGGAGCTCTCTGTCTTTGGGTTGGATTAACCTGTCAGCCTCCCCAAACTTGCAGATGAACTGCACGATTGTCCCCTGCCCTCCCCCAAAATTCCAGAGGCCCCCCTTGCCCTCCCGCTGACTTTCCTGGTGCCCTTCCTCTTTGATCAGATCACTATCTCAGCAACTACACTCACCCCTGGTTCCAGTCCCCTGGCCATGTCCTTCCTGTTCCACCCAGGATTTGTTCTATTGCCCCCCTGGCAGCGGCTGAGTTCTTCTTGTCCTGACCTCTCCCAACAAGCAAAGCGCTGCAGGCTCCTGGGGACTGGTTTGGTTCGGAAGAGAAGCTCGCCGACTGCTCTGGGGAGGGACTGTGTGGCTGTTGAGGGGTGGTCCTGCCTGCCTGGATCCCTTTCCTCCCCGTGGCTTTGGTTCTTCCTCTCCCGTGTTGTTGGCCTTCCTCTCCTGGTGGGATGCCCGCCAGCCCTGGACCAATGCTGCTCCTCTGAGCATTGCCGTGCACTGTGCCTACAACTGTCCTTCATCCCAGCCCCGCCGTGCTCAGCGTCCCAGCGCGCCTTGGTGAGGGAGGTATCTCTGCTCCCTGGTTCTTCTGTCATCAGTGGTCTGGTGTTGTCTCTGGGAGCCACAGTTCCCTCAGCTGAGGACTGAGGCTGTTTGGTGAATTGTGTCTTGATGCCAGGCAGGGGTGGCCTGGTGGGCTCCTGTGTAGAGTGTTGGACTGGTGTGAGTTCCTGCGGTGGCGGTCCTTGCCTGGGAGAGCCCACTCTGCCGATCCTCACGCTAAGGGGCTCAGGGAAGCCGGGATGGTAACTGAACTCATTGGGTTTCGGACACACCGTGTTGGCCTCCGAGGCTGAGAAGTGGTTGTTGTGACTGAAGCACGGGGGCATAGACGCCCCAGTGCAAGGCGCTGCTCCGGCCCCCTTTGCCTGAGTTGGGTCTGAGGCTCAGACCTGGGGCTTGCATGGGCTCATGACGGTGCTGCTCTTTTGAAAGCCCCTGTTTGAGGAGTGGGAGTGTTGTCTGGTCAGAGGCCAGAGAGAGTGACAAGAGTCAGGCGGAGCAGGAGGGAGGGGGCAGGGGATGGCCGGGGTGGGCTCGGGGGGGACAGGGGAGGGGCCTTGAGTCAGGAGCAGGACTTGTGACACTGTGTTTGCTCTCTGTCAGCAGGAAATCCAAATCTCCTCCCAAAGTGCCCATTGTGATTCAGGACGATAGCCTTCCCACGGGCCCCCCTCCACAGATCCGCATCCTCAAGAGGCCCACCAGCAACGGTGTGGTCAGCAGCCCTAACTCCACCAGCAGGCCCGCCCTTCCCGTCAAGTCCTTAGCTCAGCGGGAGGCAGAGTACGCCGAGGCCCGGAAGCGGATCCTGGGCAGCGCCAGCCCCGAGGAGGAGCAGGACAAGCCCATCCTCGACAGGTGAGTATGCCCGGGAGGGCTGACCGTCTGGAGAAGGGTGACCTGGCTCTGGGTAGGAGTGAACGGTGTTTCATTCTTGTTACTTTTTTGGGGGGCGGGGGGGGAGTAGTGAGGGGGCTAGGGTCGGACACAGCCATCTGTGCTCAGGGATCCCTCCTAGTGATGCTCGGGTGACCATATGTGGTAGTGTGGATTGAACCACGGTCGGCCGCCTGAATGGCAAGTGCCTTGCCCCGCTCTCCTTAACTTCTCCAGCCCTCTCTGCTTTACATTTTTATTCATTTAGTTTTGGTTTTCATGCCACCCCTGGCAGTATTCAGGGTCTACTCCTGGCCCTGTGTTCAGGGATCACTCCTGGCGGGACTTGGGAAACCAGACAGGGTGCTAGGAATCTAACCTGGGTCGGCCACATGCAAGGCAAACAAACACTTTACATACTATCACTGTGATGCTCAAATTTTAATTTTCCTTCACTTGTTTTGGTTCTTGGGCCATACGTGGCGGTGCTCAGGTCTTAGTCCTCACTCTGTGCTAAGGGTCACGCTTGGTGGGCTCAGGGGACCATATGTGGTGCCAGGGATTGAGGCCAGGACAGCTAGCTCTAGCTTTCAAGGCAAGTACCTGCCCCATGTACCATCTCTCCAGCCTCCCCTCAAGGCTTTTTTCTTGTTTGGGGGCGATATCAGGCAAATGTTGCCTGGCTCCAGAAATGATGTTCAGGAGTTACTCCTGGCTTTGCACTGAGTGTTTGGGGGACCATATGGGATGACGGGCATTGAACCCAGGTCATCCTCTTTCAAGGCAAACGCCCTACCCACTGTAATATCACTCTGCCTCAGCCCCCACTCAAGTTTTTAAATAAAGTTAGAGGCATGGATTCAAATTACAGTCCACCAAAACTCTAGCTCATCTTTACTTATTCTGCTTAGCTTAGAGGTACTTTATCTCTATGACTTGATAGCCCAGTCTGAAAAATGGAAAATGCTAGTCCCTGCTTCATCATGCTGACCACTTAAATGGGCACAGGGATCTGAGGACCCTCTCTGGCATAATGGAAAGCACCTCCAACTAAGTTCTTTGAGCTTACCTTCTGGATCTCGTGATATCCCATTGTGACTTTTTTAGACTTCTTTATTGAACTATAGTGAGATAGACCCTTACAAAGCTGTTCATGGGGGCTGGAGTGATAGCACAGCAGGTAGGGCGTTTGCCTTGCTCACCGACCCTGGTTCAAGTCCCAGCATCCCATATGGTCCCCTGAGAACCACCAGGAGTAACTCCTGAGTACAGAGCCAGGAGTAACCCCAGTGCATCGCCAGGTGTGACCCCAAAAAAAAAAAAAGCTGTTCATAACTGGATTTCACACAGTATTCCAACACCCATTTCTCCACCAGTATACATTTCCCAGCACCAATGTCCCCAGGTTCCCTCCCATCATACCCCTTCACCCCCTGCCCGCCTCTCTCTCTTTCTCTCTCTCTTTTTCCACCCTTCTCTCTCCCTCTCTTCCTCCTGCATTACAAATAAGTTCTTTACCTCCTGGTAAAACTATATGTTTTAGTATGGTCTCCTAAGTTTGAAGGGGCCTCCTTGGGTTTGGTATTCTGGACTTGAAGAACTAATCTATGTTCTTTCTTTCTGTCCCTTAATTTGTTTTATTCGGGTTTGGTTTTGGTTTTTGGGTAGCACCTGGTGATGCTCAAAAGAGTTTAGGGGATGCTGGGGATTGAACCAAGGTTGGCCACATGCAATTCAAGCACCTTATGTGCTGTACTGTCTCTCCAACCCCTTATTCTTTAATATTTTAAACTCTGTATGGTATCTCTTCCCTGTGCCTTCATTTGACAGTTGGAAAACAAAAATGTTTCCGTTCAGTCTTTGTACAGTATGAGACATCCGCTAGTCACAATACTTGAAAAGAAAATGGAAGCAGCAAGGCACATGCCTGCTGACTCAGGTGAATGTTGGTTAGGAATCGTTCCCTTGGAGAGTCTGTGCCACGTGACTCTTCGGAATATGCACCATCCCACGTTGTTGCCTCTGGACAGTCTGGGAGAAGGCTGCCCATGCAGCATTGAACAGGAACCCTCTCCTTCACCTCTTCACAGGAGCGTCCCACCTTGGAGATGCCCCGAGTTACTTGCCCCAGATGCAGCTCAGAAGCAGAGTTGGTGGCTAGCTACGATAGCTTCCGTCCCAGATGCAGGGGCAGTTGTTTGTAAGATTTGGGGGGCTCTTAGATGCTTTCTCAGGCCACCTCCCGATCATCTGATTCTCTTTCCATCAGGCCAACCAGGATCTCCCAACCTGAAGACAGCCGGCAGCCCAACAATGTGATCAGACAGCCATTGGGTCCTGATGGGTCACAAGGCTTCAAACAGCGCAGATAAATGCGGACAAGAAAGGACACCGCCGCTGCTGCTGCCACCGCCTTTTGGGTCGTCCGCCGCGGGTTGCACTGCCGTGGCAGACAGCTGGACTTGAGCAGAGGGAACGACCTGACTTACTTGCACTGTGATCCCCTTTGCTCCGCCCACTGTGACCTTGAACCCCATGCACTGTGACCGCCTCCCTTCTCCCCCTTCCCACTGTGATTGGCACGTCTACAAGGGCTGTCCCAAGTCAATGGAAAGGGAAAGGGTTGGGGAGAGGGGAGGGTTGGGGGGAGCCCATCAAGGACTCAGAGTAGAGAGTCAGACAGTGCCACTTGGCCACTTGGGGTAAAGCCAGTGCCAGCAATAACAGTTTATCATGCTCATTAATTTGGGATTTCAGAACACAATTGAGAACTCCCACCTGCCCACCCGCCCCGCCCCCCAAGTGCATGTCTTCATCACTTAGAAGCAAGTTCCATTCGAAAAATATCCTTTCTTTTTTTTTTCTTCTTCCTATTTTTGTTTGTTTATACAGATAATCTGATTTGCAAGGAAAAGTGCATGGGAGGGGGTTTAGCAGTTTAATGAATTTTTAATTGAGAAAGGGTAGTTTGATAGTCTACTTAAAAAATGTTTCTGGGAAAGTCGCTGGAAACATTAACCAATAGGATTTTGGTGAGCTTAGCTTCTGTATTCCTACTGCCGCCCAGAAAAGGGGCAGGGCTCTGCAGCCCCCAGGACAGATGAACACCCCATGCCTATACCTCCCTCCCCAGCTAAGTCCAGGGCATCTTGGCCCTACCTGGCGACTGGGCTAGCTCTATAGGCTCAGAGAGCCTGGGGAGGGTTTTAACCCCACCTCTAGTATTTTGGGAGATTGGGAAAGTGCTCAGACTTCTCCCATCCCATACCCCTCAGGGTAGTTCCCTACTAGCCAGGCTTTGCTACTTCTAGAAGAAAGTAGGGAGTGAACGCACTCCTGGGCTTTGGAGTGAGGGCTGCGAGACGTGTCTGCAGTATTTTGCTGTCATCACCAGGAAAACCAGGAGTGAGTCGGGCTTCGGGCCTGTGAAGCCTCTGCCTTGGGTGGTGGGAAGCCAGCTCTGTTGATGGCCCCAGCGAGGCAGCGACGCCTGGTGCATTTCCTTTGTGAAATCCCTGCCCTGGGAGCAGGCCGTGCTGAAGAGTCAGATGGTGTAGAACTGTAACTGCAAGGACGGTGGGGACAGGCTGGTTTCTCCGAGAGGCCTTGTCTATCCTTGACCCCTCTCCAGAGCAAGGGCCTGAAATGGAGGCAGTTTCTCCTCCCTCCCCAGGGCTAGAGACGGGCGTTGGCTCCCCAAGGGGAAGAGGCTGAGAGGGCGGCTGCGCTGTGTGCGCGCGCGTACCCCAGCTCCTCTCCGGCTTTCTGGTCTCTTCCATTGCACTGCGCCTTACCCCCCAAACAGCCCGCCCGCCCGCCTTCCCACTCTGTGGATGAGTTTTGGAGTGGCCGGTGTGGTGATTTACAATTATGGCAGCTCCCAGTGGCCAAGGAGGAGGCAGGCCGGGTTTTGCAGGCTCGTTCCACCTTTAGCTTCCCTGGGCCTGGGCCCGGCAGGCCATGTCCCTGTACATCTTCCCCGCCGGAGGAAGGGCCAGCCGCGGCTGAGTCAGCGACTCGTTCCCGCCACAGCCCTCTGCTGTGTGCAGCTGGGAGGTGGTCTGCAAGCAAAGCTGGACAGAGCATCAGCCGCCATGAACCCCCGGGGATGGAATGGTACCCACAGGCTGTGCTGAGGGGACACCTCCTCGAGGAGCAGGCCGGGGGGAAGGCTGACTGCTGTCTTCCTGTGCCACTGCCCTCTGTCTCTCCATTGTCAGTGTACGGTGGTGCCCATCCCTCATGGAGTGGTGATGTCTGGCCCGAGGCGGGGCCGTCCTGGCAGTGGGAGAGGTGCAAGTGGTAGGCCAGCCGGGAGGCCGGAAGAGCAGGTTGCTCAGCTCTCGGGACCACCTGTGCTCGCCCTTCCTCTAGCGGAGCCAAAGGGAAGGCTGGCTGCTGGGTGTCTGGACTGGGGACGGAGCGGGGATCGGTGATGCCACCTCCCTGCGGCCAAAGACGGGGCTCTGCCCGCTGTGTGCCTGTGGCCACCCACCAGCAGTCATACCCTTGGCCTCCCGGATGGAGAGGTGGCAGGCAAAATAAAAGAAAGAGAAATGAAAACAGGAAACTGTATTGTGTTGGGGGGAGGTGGGAGGGGAGATGGGAGAACGGTTTGGAGTGTGTGTGTGTGTGTGTGTGTGTGTGTGTGTGTGTGTGTGGTGGTTTGCGGGGGCTTTTTTTGTTTTGGTAGTTGTATGTAACTTTCCTTAAGTGCGCTTTTTTTTTCCTCCTTTTTTAAAGCTGCAGGCTTTGGCTTGGAAAACCCTGGGGGGATTGGGGGGCAGAAACCTGAGGCTGCTGCCCCTTTATCTGCCTTCATGGTACTGTCCCCTTTCCCCAGCACCCCCCTGACCCCGCGAGCCAGGCCTCTGACCTTCCAGCTCACCGCTTCCCACGAGCCACTACTCTGAAGTCAGCCTATAACCAAAGGAGCTGGGGGGGTCCAGGCCTGGTGACCAACCCTTCTCAGCCCACTCAATCAGGGTGCTCCCCACCTGCAGGCAGGGGGCAACACCCTATCTGCTACCATCAGCCCCCTCCAGGGCCCACTGCCCTGCCCCGCCCTGTCCAGCCCAGCCATACCCTGCTCTGCCCCATCTGGGGGTGCTCTGCTCAGGGATGGGCCGGCAGGGCTGCCCCCAGCCTCCCTGTTGAGCAGAGACTCCGGGAACCCCTGGAGTCCTGTCTTCTGGCCATGTGATCCCAGGGGTATGCATGGGCCCCTTGGGTGTCTGAACAGAAGGGCATGGAGGGAGGGCCGCACCCCTGCAGTCTGCCCTGCTGGCATGGCGGGCAGCTGCCCACCCTACCCCGCACCGCGGGCTCCTGAGTCGGCAGATTAAGCATTTTATAAATTGTATTTTAAATACATGTTTTAAACTTGTCAGAGCCTTGTCCTCATTTCAGTCCCTGTCTTGACCTCTTGCTATGGCTACTTGTGTCACCACTGTGGTGCCCGCTCTGCTCGGAGCCAGAGAGGGAGGGGCTCTCTCGGGGTTGGAGATGGAGGATTGGGGTGGTGCGTGGGTTGGAGAAGGGCCCGCTTCCTTGAGTGCCAAAGGCACAGAGCCTCTGGCTCCTGGGGCTCTTGCCTTCCCTAGGGCCTGGCCTCCTTAGAGGCCATAGTTTTTCCTCCAGGAAGTTCCCTGATGTTCACTGGCTTTTCCAGCAAGTTAGAAGAGCACGTGCCTACCTTGGTGATGTCCTATCCAGAGAGTGACATGGGACCCAAGGAGAGTCCGGAGAGTCCCTTGGAGGGAGTCGCCATACTCAGGGGGCACCTCTAACTGCATCACCAGCCCCAGTTAGGGCTTTGACTTGAGTATTGCCTTGGGACTCCCCCAAAGCCTGGAGGAAGCTGGAGTCCTGGTTTGTTTTTTTTTTTCTTTTTGGGTCACACCTGGCGATGCACAGGAGTTACTCCTGGTTCATGCACTCAGGAATTATCCATGTGGTGCTCGGGGGACCGTATGGGATGCTGGGAATCGAACCTAGGTCGTCTGCATGCAAGGCAAATGCCCTACCCGCTGTGCTATTGCTCCAGCCCCTGGAGTCCTGGATTCTTAAGAGCCCTTTGGCAGGTGGCATCATGGAGTCTTCCTTGGCATCACAGGCACAGAGGTGGAGGTTCTTGGTGTTTATTGGTTCACTGGGCCACAAGAGCAAATCCAGCAGCACCATTGCCCGATGACCCATTCTTTCGTTTTCAGACCTTGAATGGCTGCTCTGCGTTAAGTGTTCAGGTTAGGGTCAGTGAGTCCGAGCCAGCACAGAGCTGAGCCACCTTTGACTATCAGAGCTGTATTCCCTAGTGAGGCCAAGAGGGGGGAAGAGTGAGAAGAAATGAGACAGATCAGTGTACCAAAGGGGTGGGGAACCTGATTAAAGAAAAGCCCTTTCATTGTTTTGTTTGGGGGCCACACCCAGTGGTGCTCCTGGCTCTGCTCAGGAGTCCATGCGGTGCTGTGGTCAAACCCACTCACCAAGCATGCACTCAGCCTTTTGCACTCTCTCCAGCCCCTCTGGGACCTTTTTATTCCCAGGTTCCTGGGAGAGGGGTACTGCTGAAGAACAAGCATCTCCCAGCCCAACTGTTTTTTGTTCTGCTATTCCTGACATGGAAATCAAGCTTGGGCAAAAAAAAGACTAAAAACACTGGCCTCTGAACGGCAGTCACCACCAGACTAAGAAAGATTGTGTGCCCCTTACTAAGAAGGCATGAGTTAGCCTGGTGTGTTTCTTCTCCCTTACACCCATTCTCTTCTAGTAGCAGCAGATTCCCAGGCATCATTTCTTGGAAGGCCAACTTCCCCTGAAGTTAGAACAGGGGCTTCATAAGGTAGGACTTGGGGGGAGGGCTGGAGCAATAGTACAGCTGGTAGGGTGTTTGCCTTGCACACGGCCAACCCAGGTTTGATCCCCAGCGTCCAATATTGTTCTCTGAATCCCACTTCGCCTAAGTGTGAAGCCAGGAATAGCCCCTGAGCATTACCAGGTGTGATCCTAAAGCAACAGCAACCAAAAAAGGGTGGACTGGGCTGGGCTAGGGTACCCACCGGCTTCCTTGAGAGCCTGCCTGGAAGAGGAGACTCCGGATGTCAGTGCTCAGGCAGGTAGTGGCACTTGGGTCCAGCACATACTGGGGACTCTGTTTCCGGCTGATTGTCTTTGCTTCCAGCCGTGGGCAGAGTGGAATGCAGGGCATCTGGATACAGGGGCTCTGCAGATTGGTACCTGGCCAGAGAGGAGAAAGCAGCAGAGGGAAAGGTTTCAGAGCACACCCCCAGCTTTGGGATGCTAGTGAAATCCGGAAATCTTGCCTTGGACTTTCTGAACTGGAGACGGTCATGATACCCTCTGCAGGGCTGGTGGAGATCAAACGGATAATGCATAGTGAACATCCAAATGCTGACCAGAGATTAAGAGCATTTCTTACTTGGGTGCTAGGTATTGTATCCAGAGCATCCTGGGCAAGGCAAGTGCTCGCTCCCTGAGCTTCATCCCCAGCCCACTAATAACATCCTGAAAGGGAGCAGCTAGCTTTGTGATGGGTCCTGGCAAAGCCTGGTAGGCATGGAAAACTACTATTCCATCACTTTGCATAGTAAATGCCTCAAATAAATGAACTTAATACTAGGGGTGGGCAGTGGACTTGTTCAAGTTTTGGAATCTTATTTTTTCTGATTTTTGAGCACACCCGCTTGTGCTCAGGAGTTACTCCCAGCTCTGCACTCAGGAATTCTGACGATGCTCAGGAGATCAAATGAAATGCCGGGGATCAAACGCAGATCAGTCGCATGCAAGGCAAACACCTTACCTGTTGTACTATCGCTCCGGCTCCATGGAGTCTTCTCTTTTGGATACTGATTGTAAGGTTTTGACCCAGTTGCTTTAACTTCCTCGGTTTGAGTTTTCTCCTCTGTAAAATGGGACAAATAATGCCACGAGGAGGATTTGTTTCTCATTCAAAGAGTCTGGGCTAGTAAACAACTCCAGTGGTGCTCAGTAACTATAAGTTAGGATCACTAATCATGCTTCATTCTCAGGCCAGGCTCTGAGCCTGTACCTGTGCTGATGCAGGAGAGAAGAGCCTATGTAGAGAGTCTGACAGAGAGCTCCAGATGGTGGGAGCTTGGGGGAATCGGACCCTTGACCAATGCACCCAAGTTAAGCCACACATCTCGCCATCTCCTGGAACTGACTGGGGAGGCTGGGGGAAGAAGCCAGGTGGGCAGAGCAGAGCGGTACCCCCATACCCAAGGCTCTCACCGTAGTTCTGCTTCAGCCGGTTCAGGACCCTGAGGACCCTGCGGTCTGGAATTTCAACAAGGGTTTCTTCCTCCTGTGGTTCCAAGGAAAGCTTCTTCCGGGCCCGAAGTCGGCCTACGGCCAATTCCATCTCTTGGGCCTTAGCGGTAACTTCCTTCAGCTTCTTCTGGTAATAGCTGGGGAAGTGGCAGGTACTTAGCTCAGCCTCCTCCCTACTGTCCTCAGCCCCTGCTGTCTGGCCATCTCCAAAGCAGTGACCCAAGCCCAGGAGTCGGGCGCCCCAAGCTTAGGCTTTGCTCTGTCTTTAACTTCCTGTGGCCATGGCGGGTTATTGCCTAACTCTGGGTCATGTAAGGTGTGGGGAAGTGGGTTTCTCTACCCTGTCATTGAAAATCACTTGAGATGTCTGAAAAGGACCAAACAGTTCATTCTGTAGGCTTAAAAGCAAGGGTGAAGTTAACACGGTTCATCAGGTTAGTATTCAGCAGTAGGGCCCAGGGAAGAGTTGGGTATGATTTCAGTCATTTACCATAGAGGTTTCAGAATTTTATGAGCCAGCAACATTGACCTCATTCATCATCATCTTGCAGATTTCAGCATAAAGGCCCCTCCAGAAAATTGTCTCTGTTAATGAGGCTCCAGAGTCAGCCCCCTAATAAATGACTACTTAACCTCCCATCAAAACACCAAGCCCTGGGGGCTGGAGCGATAGCACAGCAGGTAGGGCGTTTGCATTGCACGCAGCCAACATGGCCCACACAGGTTCGATTCCCAGCATCCCATATGGTCCCCCGAGCACCGCCAGGAGTGATTCCTGAGTGCATGAGCCAGGAGTAACCCCTGAGCATCGCCACGTGTGACCCAAAAAGAAAAAAAACACACAAAACACCAAACCCTGGGGCCAAGTGATATACAGCGTGTAGGGTGTTTGCTGATCGGGGTTCTAGCCCCGGTATCCCATATCCCAGTATCCCGGTCCCCCAAGCATCACCAAGAATAATTCCTGAGTGCAGAGACAGAAGTAACCCCTTAACATCGCTGGGTATGACCCCCAAAAGCAAAAAACAAAAAAAAATACAAGCTCTCTTTTCTTCTGAGGGTCAGGTGCGGGCTTGGACCACACCCAGCAGTGCTCAAGGGCTGCTACTCCTGAACCTGGAGGGCTGCTCCCAAGCTTCTGTACTACCTCTGTCTGGCCCCAACTACTCAATGTTTTCTTCCAGGACCACATCTGGCAGTGGTTGGGGTCTGGTGTGCTCAGGGGATGCTCGCAGGGCCAGGAGTCAGCCTCAGCAGCCAGCCTGCACAGCCTGCTCTCCACGTGCTCCCCTTGAGCTTCCTCTCCCTCCCCTTCTGGACATGGTCTCCTGTCGGGCGTCAGCCTCCTGCTCCTTGCCCTGACTCATGCACCCTAAGAGTACAGGGGACCTAAGCCCCTGTGGGTGCCAGCCTTGACCAAAAGAACTAGCATGTAAGGACATGCTCTCCCCTTTCCTCATGGTTCTAAGCCATCACACTGAGCTGCCTTAGATCCTGACTTAATAGCACTTCTGGGTGTTTTTTTTTTTTCATTGAATCACCATGAGATACAGTTACAAGCTTTCATGTTTGAGTTTCCATCACACAATGATCAAACACCCATCACTCCACCAGTGCACATTCTCCACCACCAGTCCCCAGTACACCTCCCCCCTTTTCAACCTTCCCGACCTCCATGGCAGACAATTTTCCCCATACTCTCTCTCTACTTTTGGGCATTATGATTTGCAATACAGATACTGAGAAGTTATCACATTTGGTCCTTTATCTACCTTCAGCACATATCTCCCATATTGAATGATTCCTCCAACCATCACTGTCTTAAGCACTTCTGTTTTGAGCTACATCCAGCGGTGCCCAGGGCTTATCACTGGCTTTGTGCTCAGGGATCACTCTTGTCAGAGCTCAGAGGACTAGATGGAATGCTGGGGATTGAATAAGGGTCAGCCATGTGCAAGGCAAGTGCCCTACCTAATGAGCTGTCGCTCCAGCCCCGCACTTACTTTTTTTAAACCATTTTGATTGATATACCAGGATTTCTAATACTGTTAATCACAGTTTTCATGCATACATCATACCCACCACCAGAGAGCCTGCCTCCCACTACCAGGGACCCAGGGACCCTCCCCCGTGTAAGCTCAGGTCTAGAAATAAAATCTTCAGTTCTCAGAACTTGGACCATTTGCTGTTCCTTTACTGTGTTTCTCTCTTAATAGCACATTATTCCACGACCACCTCCACACTGTTCATGCTCCTTCCCTAATGAATCGTTCTCATTGTTCTAAGGATGTTCGGGGCTACTCCAGACCCTGACATCTTTTTTTTTTCTTCTTTTTGGTAGGTGTAAGGTAGATTTGACCCAAACCCTGTGGGCTTATTCCTGACTTTATGCTCAGGGATCACTTCTGATGGTGCTCAGGGGACCATATACAGAACAGGGGATCAAACCCTGGTCAGCTACATGCAAGGCAAGTGCCCTACCTGCTGCACTATTTCTCTGGCTTCTGAAATAATTTTCTAAATCAATTACTTAGGCAGGTACTTAGGAGTATCAGACATAAGTAAATACGACATGTCAGTACTGATGGGTGCTGGGAGGAAAAAGCAGGGTATAGGGGAATGAGATGGGACTACCTTTGCTCAGAAAGTCTTCGAGGAGGTAACATTTGGATGGAAGGAGGGAAAAGGCCAAGTCAGATGGCTCTGTGGAGAAGCATCTTTCCAGGAGGTAGAAACAAGTTTTCTGAGTTCTATGACGAACAGAGACCAGAGAGTCTCAAGCCTGGTGGGGAGGGAGGGTGGGCATGTGGGCAGTGATCACAGAGCCAGACCACTGACTGGGGAGAGGCCATTCAGTTTGGGAAAGATGATATTTCTGCTGGGATCTATGCTTATCCTTAGGGCTTGGGATTATGGGTTTCAATAGACTACCTGCAAAGAAAATGATGTCCAGAGGGAGTCCTCACTGTAATGGTGCTAGACGCCCATGTAAAACCTGAACCAGACAAGTCTACATGCCAGGCAGAAGGCTGGCTAGGAAACACCTTCACTCTGAGAGAGTAGAGTGTGGGCCTCTTACAGTCCGAACTAGGTTGGGCTTTTGTTTGGGATTTTGGCTGGAGGTCCTGGGAATCATCCACAGGTTTCCTGCATGTCTACACTTCAGCCCTTTGAACTACCTCCCTGTTTTAATTTTCAATTGCCTCTAAGAATAATGTTGAGCCTCTTGCACAGCGGGTAGGGCGTTTGCCTTACAAGCGGCCAACATGGCCGACGCGAGTTCGATTCCTCTGCCCCTCTCGGAGAGCCCGGCAAGCTACCGAGAGTATTCGATATGCCAAACACAGTAACAACAAAGTCTCCAATGGAGACGTTACTGGGCCCGCTCGAGCAAATCGACGATCAACGGGAGGGCCTCTCTTCTCAACAAATATGGTTGTGCATATTCATCAACCATGTATCTTCTTTGATGAGGTGTCTTTTTGTTTGTTTTGTTGGGGCACAGCTGGCAGTACTCAGGGCTAGCTCTGTGTTGACTCCTGGAAGTGCGTGGGGGCCATATGGAGTGCCAGGGATCAAACTTAGTTTGGCTGCATACAAGTACCACATTACCCCCTATACTATATCTCCCACGTGGCTGATATCTCCCCGGGTTCGATTCCTCCGCCCCTCTCTGATTGCCCCGCAATCTACTAATAGTATTCCACCCACACGGCAAAGCCTGGCAAGCTACCCGTGACGTATTCAATATGCCAAAAACAGTAACAGCAAGTCTTACAGCGGAGATGTTACTGGTGCCTGTTCAAGCAAATTGATGAACAACGGGAGGACAGTGCTACTATATCTCCAGCCCTTTCAGTTTTTATTCTTTTTTTTTTTTTTTTGGCAGGGGGAGTGAAATATACTTGGGAGGTACTCAGGGAACATTGGAGATTGAACCTGAGTCAGCAAGGCAAGAGTCTTAACCCCTGTATTATCTCACTAGCCAAAGAATTCTTTGTACATGTGTAGGGGGCAAAAAAAAAAAAAAACCACCTTTATCAGACATGTCTTCTATAAAATATTCTCCCAGTCTGCAGCTTATCTTCTCAGTCCCTTGGTATTTTGTCATTTTAACTAGGATGATGTTTGCTTCGAGGCTACAAAAGCAATGGCAGATAAAGCTGATCCTTAACCTAAGGTAAAGAAGTGGCACCAAACCCTGTCACTGGATCCTCAGAGAATGGTCAACAGCAATGGCAATTTAAAACATGTCCTTGGTGAAACTGAAGAACGCGTATTTTAGTCTCCAGAGTGCTAGTCTCGGTCAGGGCTCAGAAGGCAGCATGTATTCCAGCCCTTAAGGCCCTTCACCTCTCTTTGACATTCTATGAATATTCCTGAAGGCTCTCTGCTGCATCCTGCAAACTATATTTGTCTCAAGAAAAAGCATCTGTGGTGGCTGGAGCGATAGTATAGTGGGTAGGGTGTTTGCTTTGCATGTGGCCGACCCAGGTTCAATCCCCGGCATCCCATATGGTCCCCCAAGCACCACCAGGAGTAATTCCAGTGTGCAGAGCCAGGAGAAACCCCTGAGCATTGCTGAGTGTGACCCACAAAAAAATGCATCTGTGTGATTAATGTGTGAACTGAACTGGTTTGCTTTTTCTAGAAAGGGAGTCAGGACGTGCCATCCCAAAATGCCCCACACCAGTGTATTGATTATTTTGTTGTTTAAGCCCCTGAAAATGGCAGACACAAGAACAACATTGGCAGTCATTTTTCAGTGAATAAGCTGGAGATAGAGGGCCCATCGGAAAGATGTCCTCTCTCTGTACCAGAAAGACCACCCATTCCTCTTGTCACAACCACCAGGGAGTCCAAGCTGGGACTGAGCAAACCCTGAACAGACAGTCCTGCTAAAATAATGAAATAATGTTTATTTTTAGTCTGTCCATACATTTTAGTTACTTTTTTTTTTGGTTTGGGGGGCAGAGGTTTTGAATATACATGACTCAATGCTCTGCTGGCAGTGCTCGGGGACCATACGCAGTGTGAGGGACTGAATCTGGGTCTGCTGTGTGCAAGGCAAGTGCCTTAGCTCCTGTACTAGCTCTTGGGCCCTCAGTTACTCTTCAATGATAGCTGTTCTATTAGCTGGTCTTCTGCATTATAGGCCTGGCTTTCTTTTTTTCTCTTCTCTTTTTTTGTTTTTGTTTTTTTGTTTTCAGGACAAACCTGCTGGTACTCAGGGCTTACTCCTGGCTCTCTTTTCAGGGATCATTCCTAGGCAGGTTCAGGGAACCTTATGGAATGCTGTCAGTCAAACCTGGATGCACTGTGAGCTAGGCAAGCATCCTACCTGTTGTACTATCGCTCCAGCCCCACGCCTAGTTTTCTTCAGATCATTTTTCTTGCGAGGGCGCCTAAACACTCTTAGACAAAATTCATTTCCTTTTTTGTTTGTATTCTGGGACATACCCAGCATTACTCAGGTGCTACTGTACTTGGGTGCTGGGGCACCGTGCAGTGCCAGAGCTCTCAACCTCGGCCCTCCTGCATGCAAAATTTGTGCTCTAGCCCGTTGAGTGCTCTTCTTCAGTCTAAAATTCATATGCTTCTCTCCTGTCAATCTTTTTGTTGTGGGGGCCACAGCCAGCAGTGTCTGGGGCTACTCCCAAGACAGTGCTCAGGGGACTTTGTTGTGTTCAGGGGTGACTCCCAGTGGTACTTGGGGTACCATATGTGCTAGTACTCTTGCATGCAAAGATTCCAGAGTTTTAAGCTTTCTCCCCGGTCCCCTGTTAATCTCATATCTATCTCAGTTGGAAGTTCCAAGAGTACATATCAAATAGTTTAACTTGAAAGACCAATTATAAGTATTTAGCCCTGGGTAGCTGATGGACATTTTCTCAGAAATGGAGGAAATTAACCCATCCCTTCAAGGAAAATATATAACAGTATTTGCTGCCTGCTCTAAGTTGTAGAGTAAAAACATTCAAATTTTGGAAAATTTAAGTCCACTATCATAGATGTGTTCATGTTTGTAGTTTACAGACATACAACAGAATACTTAGACTTTCTGACATTGGTGATATTAGCAATTATCCATAATGTATATAAGTTCATTGACCATTTACTTTTTTTTATTTTTTATTTTTTGCTTTTTGGGTCACACCAGTGATGCTCAGGGGCCACTCCTGGCTCTTCACTCAGGAACCACTCCTGGCGGTGCTCAGGGGACCATATGGGATGCTGGGATTCGAACCCGGGTCAGCCGCGTGCAAGGCAAACACCCTACCCACTGTGCTATCGCTCCAGCCCCTCATTGACCATTTAAAATCATTTTTTGTACATTTATTGTCTATATAATTACTTTTGGAAGGTACACAGTATTTTCTAATGGTGATGCATGTTTCAAAATCATTAGGGGCCAGTATAGCGGGTCAGGCATTTGCTGTGTACACAGCCAACCCAGATATGATCCCTGGCATCCTATATGGTACCCTGAACCCCACCAGGACTCATTCCTGAGTGCAGAGCCAGGATTGACCCCTGAGCATCACCAGGTGTCACCCAAAAAGCAAAAAAAAATACATTCAAGCTACAGGATAAATCAATAATTCTTTATTTAAAAGAGCACAAAAATTTATTTATATGATCTCAAATTGCACCTTGCAACTGATCTTAATACCACTACCCACTTGGAAACATAGTGTAATATTTTTAAAAAAATTGAGCCAGGGAGATAGCATTAAGGTACTTGTCTTGAATTTGGACAGCTCAGTTCTCATTCCCAGCACGATATATGGTCCCTTCAGAAGTCATTCCTGAGTATAGATCCAGGAATATCCCCGAGCACTGCTGGTTGTGGCCTGTCATTCCTCCCAAAAGAAAAATTCCATATTATTATGAAACTATCCAATGAAAAGATTCACAAAATACTTCCTTTTTCCAATATGGATTTTGTGACCAAAATCTTCAAGCTCTCAGAGAGTCAGGGATGAGCTACCTCCCCCAATTCCCTGCTCTCCTGGGAGCCTGGCGGTCACGCCCATGAACTACCTCTGGCGCCATGTAAGCTCATTAACCAGCCATGATCCAGAAAATCATAAATAAATCTCAAAAGAGAGCAGCAAACTGCAGAGATGCTTCTAGACCCCAAAGTCACCATCCAGTTAAAAATTCAACTCCAGCTGTATCACCCCATTCAAAATTTTAGGATTCCTGAAGCAACATCTCATACTCTATAACACTGATATACCAGGAGTAGCACACCACATTGAATGGGATGTAAAGTAGAAGGTAACCAATTTCAATCAAGAAAATATTAACACACAAGACTTAACCAGTAACAATATGTTAGTAACCTCTTATACAGGGGCTTAGTTGCTCGAGGGTGAGATACAACCATCTTCACACACTTTCTTCTTCTAAGGAAATCATTTTTTTGATCATTTTTAACAAATTATTCATAACAAGCAGTACAAAATAAAGTATTTAGGCCCTGCTACTGGGGCAGTCTTGGGTGGTGGTTGAGAGAATTCAAAACAACGGTGATGGGAAGGTGTAATGGCAGTGGGATGGGTGTTGGAATACTGAATGTAATAAATCATCATGAACAATTTTATAAAAATAAAAATTTTAAAAATATTCTCTTTTATAATTACATGTTTTGTGAGGGCAGATTTTTTTCATAGAATTCAAACAAAACAACATATTGCACAGATTGAACGCAAAAGCAGATATGAGGATTAGCTATTTTTCAATGAAATGAACAGAAACTTTCTCAAAGAAGATATCCGAATAGCTAAAAGGCACATGAGAAAATGCTCTACATCATTAATCATCAGGGAAATGTAGTTCAAAACAACAATGAGATATCATCTTACACCACAGAGACTGGCCCACATCCACAAGAATAAAAGCAACCAGTGTTGGCATGGATGTGGCAAGAAAGGGACCCTCCTTCACTGCTGGGGGGAATGCCGACTGGTTCAGCCCTTCTGGAAAGCAGTATGGACGATTCTCAAAATATTAGAATTTGAGCTCCCATTTGACCCAGTAATACCACTCCTGGGAATATATCCCATAGAGGCAAAAAAGTATAGTTGAAGTGACATCTGCACTTCTTTGTTCATTGCAGCACTGTTTACAATAACCAGAATCTGGAGGATTAGCTATTCTATGCCAGACACTACTCAGATTTGCAACATTGTAAAATAATCTCACTCTTTTTACTACCTTTTTTTTGTGTTTTGGAAGATAATTTTCACTTGAACTGTTTTTATATTAACATATAATGGGATTGTTGTTGATAAGTAAATATAAATGTATTTTTTAAATTCTATTATAAAATTATATCAGGCCAGAAAGATAAAATTATGGGTGGACCTTGCATGCAGCAGACCCAGATTCAATCCCCAGCATCCCATAAGATCCTCCAACCCTTCCAGGAGTGATCCCTGAGCACAGCCTGGTGAGTCAGCGAAAGGCCATTCTGCCTTCATCCTTTGCTTCGAGCCTTCAGGTGTTATTGTGGTTTTGAACATAGCATCTCTTCCTTAGATCAGTCATAAACCCCGCTCTTGCCCACACAGATGAAGGGGAGGCCCCCATCTTTTGTGCTATCTGACCTCCAGGAAGACTCTCCACATTCCTTTTCTGCAACCCTCCATGGGTACTACAAAAAATAATTCCTCTTGGGGCTGGAGAGACAATACATGGGTAAGGCACTTGCCCTGCACATGGCCAGTTCAAGGTCCATCCCCAGCACTGCATATGGTACCCCAAACCCTACCAGGAGTGCTATCTAAGCAGAGAGACAGGAGTAAGCCCTGAGTAGAGCCAGGTGGGGACCTAAGTCCCTTCTAGACCCCCATAAAAATAATTCCTCTTGTTCTTGAGGTTGCTAAGCTAGAGGGGTGTCAGTTGACATCAATCCCACTATATGAAAAGTGTTGAGTTTGAAGCCAATGAGTGTACAGGATGAGCAGAAAAGATAAAACATCTTGGTCTCCTGGATCCAACCCTTCCTGAGGTCCTGGCTAGTTGTGTGAACCAACCCATTTGCCTTTTGTGTAAGTTCATTTTATTTGAATTTCTGCAACGCAGAGTTGAGTGACCCAAAGTCCTTAGCTGCCAAAACGCTGGTGTCATTTCTGGGTCCACAACCCTCTGCCCTCCATCAGCCCTGCTCACCTGGTGATCTCTTCCAAGGTTGCCTCTGGTAAGGCCAGCATTTCTACTAGCAGAGACAAGATCTCAAAGAACAGAGTGTGGGGGTTCAAGGGAGCTGTGTCCGTCAGGGTATTCTCTTCTGGGAACATAGGATGATGATTGCCATTACCACTGGGGTGGCCCTGGGTGCCCACTCCTCCCACATCAGCCCCCTTCCTCCTCCCCCAACTCACCAACAGAGGAGAAGAAACGCCTGTTATCTGTCATTACAGTCAAGAAGTCTTTGAAGGTCACATGACCATCTCCTGTGAAGGACAGAGGAAGAAGAGGGTGGCAGGGGCCTTCCAGACTGGGCTGACTCAGCATTGCAAGCCAGGTATGCTAATTAGCAGATACTTTCGGATCAGATCAGGAGTGCCCTCGCAAGGGAATTTTAATATCAAAGATCATTTGTCAAAAGTGACTCCAAGAACCTTGAATTAGATCTAGCTAGCAGTCTCGGCAAGTGGGTTAGTTAGTTTAGGATTGCACGCAGCAGTACTCAGAGGCTACTCCTTGTGCCTTACTAGGGCGGAGGGGTGGGGGTCACTCCCAGTGCTTGGTGCCTGAAGACCATTGGTGCTAGGGATCTGGATCCAACCTCGAGTGCACACCAGCAGGTGGACACGGAACAAAGCTCCCCCACTCACCGTCCACATCAGCGCTTATCAGGGCAGCCTCCACCTGGGTCGGCATCAAGGGGATGCCCACGTAAAGCAGGATATTCTCCAGGCTCTGTGCATCCACCTCACCATGGCCTTTGAAGATCTCAAAGTAGCTGCGGAAGGCTGGGGTGGGGAGAGTGTGCAGCCGAGTCATGTAGGGTGGGGGTGTCTCCAGTTTCCATCATCTCATCTTCATGCCCCTTCCTGCCCAGAATCCCTACCACTGTTGTCAGAGATGACTAAAAGAGCAGAAGTATCATAGTGTGGGCTCACAGGCTCTCCTGTTCCATTAGACAGAGGCTGCCCAGCTTATGAGGCTAAAGCCAAGCTAATCATGGGGCTGGAGCAATAGAACAGCAGGTAGGGTGCTTGTCTTGCTTGGGGCTGACCTGGGTTCAGTTCCTAGCATTCCATGTGGTACCCTGAACACCACAGGAGTAATTCCTGAGCGCAAAGCCAGGACTAAGGGCTGAGCATCGCTGGGTGTGCCCCTCAAAACAAACAACAAATGAAAAACTACTGCTGGAGCGATAGCACAGTGGGTAGGGCGTTCGCCTTACAAGCGGCCAACATGGCCGACCTGAGTTCGATTCCTCCGCCCCTCTCGGAGAGCCCGGCAAGCTGCCGAGAGTATTCGATATGCCAGACACAGTAACAACAAAGTCTCCAATGGAGACGTTACTGGGCCCGCTCGAGCAAATCGACGATCAACAGGAGGGCCTTTACCTTTTTACTTTACCACCAAAAATAAAAGTTAAGCTAAGAAGCAACCATCTCTTTCTCTATGATTTGGGGAAGAGGGTGATCAGGGATTACTCCTGTCAGGCACCCAATGTGAGATGCTGGGGATTGAACTGAGACTGGCCACATGCATAGCAAATGTCCTATGCCCTGTACTGGTTTGTGACCTCTCAAACCATCGTTGCACCAGGCTCACTCTTGAGCATCCCTGCTACGTGCCAGGCACCTAATGAGGCTCTTTTCCAGCTAGTTTCTTCATTCAATGTTTATAGTGGCCCAGAGCATTTGCTTTACAAGGGTTTGCTGGGTTTGCTCCCCAGCATCACCAAACAACGCTGTCACTGTCACTGTCCTCCCGTTGTTCATCGATTTGCTCGAGCGGACCCAGTAACATTGTGAGACTTGTTACTGTGCTTGGCATATCGAATACATCCCGGGTAGCTTGCCAGGCTTTGCCATGCGGGCGAGATACTCTAGGTAGCTTGCCAGGATCTCCGAGATGGGTGGAGGAATCGAACTCAGGTCGGCCATGTTGGTTGCATGCAAGGCAAACGCCCTACCCGCTGTGCTATCATTCCAGCCCAAAGAAAAACATTTATATCCATCACCAAAGAAAAACATTTATATATATATATGCATATATATATTTTTTGAGTGGGGGGTTTGGGCCACACCCAGTGATGGTCAGGAGTTACTCCTGACTTTGTGCTCAGGAATTACTCCTGGCGATGCATGGCAGACCATATAGGATCCTGGGGATCGAACTCAGGTCATCCTCATGCTAGTAGTATGGCTGAACTACTACTCGCTGTACTATTTTTCTGGCCCCGAGAAAAGAATTTTCAATTTATTTTTGCAGTAACCTTGTAAGAGTGTAGAGTGCTTATTCCTTCTGTGAAGATGAAGACACTCAGGTTCAGTGGTAGATGTCCAAGGCTGGGTAGAAAGTTCAAGTGGCGTGTCTAAGCATGCACAAGGGCCTGAGTTTGATCTCAACCTTGCACCTCAGATGTGACCCTGTTGTTCCCCAAGCACTAAGTTATGAGGTTTATACCATTGGGAGTGGACCTGAGCTCAGGAGCACATTTCATAGGCTGTGACCCTTATTAGAAATATGAGGGGCCAGAGAGATAGCACAGGGGCTAAGGTGCTTGCTATGTATGTGGTCGGCCCTGGTTTGAGTCTCTCTGCCCCACAGGGGCCAAGCTCGAATCCCATTAGGGCACTGGGGATTGAACCTGTCACTGTCCATATGGTACCCTGAACCCCGCAGGGTTTGATCTTTGGCCTTGTGCAAGAAAAATGCCATACCCACTGCACTATCACTCCAGCCTCAGGAATTGTTTTAAAGGACCTTTGGGGACAGAAAGAAAGTTTAGTAGGAACTGGAGTACACACTTTGCCTGCATAAGGTCTGGGTCTCCCAAGTATAACCAGAAGTGACCCCACACCCCAAGCATTGAACTTGCCCCTGAAGACTCCCAGGTGTGGCTAAAAGTAACACAATAAGAGACATTTTTCTTCTTTGGTCACACCCGGAGTTGCACAGGGGTTACTCCTGGCTCATATACTCAGGAATTACTCCTGGCAGTGCTCAGGGGACCATATGAAATGCTGGGAATGAAACTCAGGTTGGCCGTGTGCAAGGCAAATGCCCTACCCACTGTGCTATTGCTCCAGCCCCAAAACAATAAGAGACTTTTGCAAGGACATGTATATAAAGGAGATGCGGGTTCAGACCCTGGAATCGCATAGTTCCTTTAGCATTGCTAGGAGCACTCTCCAGCCCAGAGGAGCCCCAGAGCACCACTGGGTGTGCCCCCAATCCCCCAAAGGGAGGTGTTCAGTTTCTTCAGAGGGGCTGGGAGATGGAGTTAACCCACAATAACCCCCCCTAACTCTGTCCAACAGCTACTTTGCCAACTCTACAGACAGACAGACAGACAGACACACACACACACACACACACTTCTGTGACTTGGTGGTCATGTTAGGGGCCCGCCTGTGTTGAGATAAAATGGGTTTCTACCTTTCTGAATCCCAGTGGCACGTGGAAAAGCCTCCCCCTCAAAAAACTGGCAAGGAAAGTTGGATGCTGAAGGAGGCGCTTTCAAGGAGGAGGTTGATGTGCACACTTGGTGAAGGCTGAGTGTACCGGTTCATCCTGGGGTCCCCAGACTTTTTGGGGAGCCGAGGGTGGGAGAGGATGCATTCCTGAGGGCAAGGTGAGGGGTGACCAGGCCATCAGTGGCAATGTGGGACCCACAGGAAGCAGTACACGACTCCCACTCCACTGGGCATGAGGCCAATGGGAAGGATGGAAAAAAAGGCACACACAGGACCTGGAGCAACAGTCCAACAGGTAGGGCACTTGCCTTGAACATGGCCGACCTGAATTCAATCCCTGGCACCCTATACGGTCCCCCCAGGCCTGCCAGTAATGACCCTGAGCTCAAAGCCAGGAATAAGCTCTGAACACAGCTGGGTGTGACCCCCAAACAAACCATGAAAGAAAGCATATGCAAAACAGGCTGGGAGTGCAGAACCCACACAGCAGTGGGAGGCAGTAGGGAGTTATTCAGGACCAGTGGCCTTGCCAAACAGTAAGGGGTGGGCTAGGACAAATGGGGTGAGAGGCAGGGGTATGGGGGCGGATGACTGGAGCCCTACTTCTCATCCCAACTACCTCTTCAGGGGCCCCCTAGAGTAGGCTGTGGATGGGGAAGGGGAAGTGCTCCAGAAAACACCCGCACTCTGTGTGCAGAGCTTTCTACCTTTGCAGAGAGGCAGAGACACTGGACCCCAAGCAAGAACTGCATGCTGAGAGCCGGCTCCCTCCCGTTCAGCAGGCTGTGAGGGGAATCAGCCCCACAGAGACCCCCTCCCTTTCTCCAGACACTCCTAGCTGGGCCACCTGCAGAAGAGAGGGGGTGCTCTGTGCACCCCACCCACCCTGAGATCAACCCCCAAAGCCTGGAGGTTCTGCCACGCCTCACCTTCCTCCTGCTTAATGGTGAGTTGCTCCTCCAACCTCTCCTCCCAGTTCTGGAACAGCTTCATCAGGTTGTGCTCCTCCTGCTCAGACCTGCGGAGGACAATCGGGTGGGGTATGCACCCGCTGCTGAAAGTCACAGAGGGTGGGGTGCTGGGGGCAGAGGTAGTCATGGCAGGGGAGGCTGTGTGAGGTCGGGGAAGTGCAAGAGAGACTGGAGGGAAGGTGCCCGTGCAGGGCTGGACAAAGTGTACAGGGGGGCAAGCACCCACTGTGCTGCTGACCCCAGTTCGGTCCCTAGCACTGTGTATGGTTCTCAAGCATGGCCAGAGATGACTCCTGAGCACAGAGCCCGGAACAGCTCCTGAGCATTAGTAAGTGTGGCCTTACAAAGAAATAAAAAATCGAGCTGAGCAATATAGTAGAGTGGGTAAGGTGTTTGCCTTGCAGGGGACCAACCTGGGTTTGATCCCCGGTATCTACTAGGGTCCCCAGGAGTGATCTCTGAGCACTGAGTCAGGAGTAAGCCCTAAATACCACAGAAGTAAGTTATAAGCAGAGAGAGAGAGAGAGAGAGAGAGAGAGAGAGAGAGAGAGAGGAGGCGGTTCAGGGCGGGAGTCTAAGAGAGAGGAAGCCCAGGGTGTCTGGGGTCTGGGGTAGCACCTACTGTGAGAAGTTCCTCTCGTCTTTCTGGAGCAAGAGCTCAGTCCTCTTCCAGCCCATGTCCAGAGCAGGGATCGGCAGCCCCAGCACTGAGCCCAGCTCTGGGACTCCCATCGAGGAAGAGACCGGCGCTGGGGTTGGCAGCCGGACCCAGGACGAAGCCATTGTGACCACCGGGGGGTGCTGAGAGATGAAGGGAGACAGACTGGAGCCGGAGGTGGGCACCGGGATGAGGGCCCTGGCTGACTTCCGGTTTGGCAGGCCCTGGGCCTTGGTGGCCCTCCGATGCAAGGCCTCCTCCTCTTCCTCCACTTCTAGCAAGCACTTCATGAAGCCGTGCCGGGGATGGCCGAATTGCTGGGCCGCCGTGGCCAGCAGGAGCTCCTGAGACTGCTTCAGCATGTGGACCAGCTCCCTCTTCTCTACCAGGTCCCTCACCTGGCAAGGGACAAGGAAAGGGCACCTGGGAAGCCTCTGGCCTATCTCTGGCTCCGGGGTCCTCCCTGCTACCCCCTCTCGAGGGGCTCTTCACACTGCCCCTTGCTCTATGCTGCCCGGGGGGGGGGGGAATCTCACATGTATGCCATAAGGGACCCTTCCCATGTTAGCCTCCCAACATCTGTTTAATTTTTTTTCTTTTTTTGGGGGGTCATACCTGGTGATACACAGGGATTCTTCCTGGTTCATGCACTCAGGAATTGCTCCTGAAGGTGCTCAGGGGACCATATGGGATGCTGGGAATCAAACCTGGGTCGACCATGTGCATGCTCACACCCAACCACGCTTGCAGTACACATTCACACTCATCCATCCACCCCTGCAGTGTACACTCACACTCACCCATCCACCCCTGCAGTGCATGCTCACACTCACCCACCCTTGCGGTACACATTCACACTGACCCACCCATCCCTGCAGTGCCCATTCACATTCACTCACCCACCTCTTCTGTGCACATTTGTATTCACCCACCCACCCCGTAATGCATGCTCTCACTCACCCACCCACCCCTGCAGTGCATGCTTTGCACTCACACACTCACCCCTGCAGTGCATGCTTGTGCTCACCGACCCACCCTGCAGTGCGTGTCACATACACCTATACATCCTGCAGTTCAGTAAGTCACACAGCCAGCAGTGCTCACACTTACCCCCCGCCCTGAGTTCATGCTCACACTCACCTACCCCTGCTGTGCTGGGACTCACCCAACCCTGCAGTGCATCAGTGAATGATCATAATCACTTGGAAAAAGGAATTAGTTAACAGCTTCAGTACTCCCCAAAAGGACACTCCCAGGTCCGTATTTATCTTAGGTCCTGTCACAGGCAAAGGATGGAGGTACGTTGGAACACCAAGTTCAAGCACTTCCTTCCAGTGCTTGAGGCTTCGCATATGGCCTGATCCTGCTTTCTGGTCTCCTTGTCCACCATTTCCAGCTTTCTCGTCCATGAGACCATTTTTCCCAGGGCTACTCCTCATTCTATGCTCCTCCCAGTTCTGTATCTTTGCTTGTTCCAGACCTGCTGCCCAGGCGCCCTTTATTTTTTTTTTTTGGTTAGGGGCACATTCGGCAATGCTCAGGGGTCACTCCTAGCTATACTCAGGGGACCATATGGGATGCTGGGGAGCAAATCAGGGTCGGCCACATGTAAGGAAAGTGCCCGACCTGCAGCACTATCACTCTGGCCCTGGGCGCCCTTTCTAACCTGGCTTCTTTCACATTTCATCCACCTTCGTGGTCTAATGTCAATCCTCCTCCTTCATGTAGCCTCCTGGTAACTCCAGAGCCCAGCCCCTATGCCCTGCCCAACCATGCTCAGTCCATTCTCAGTGGCGGGGTTTAGACAGTCCCCTCCTTTTCTTGCCCTTTCTGACCATAGAGCTAATGTGCTGTTGACTCTCAACACACACACACACACACACACACACACACACACACACACACACACACACACACCCTGGAAGCAAATGTTGTCTTTCCTCATCCCATAGGATAGAGCCTGGGCTATGCAGGTGGGGGGGGGGGGTGGGAGAAGAAAGAGATGCACACACAGAGGATGTATTTCCAGCTCTAATCGGACCCTGACCAACTCCGGAGAGAGCGATCACATGATTTGTACTGTTTGTTGATTTGGCTAATGCAGAATGAATACCTATTTTGTATCAAATGTCGTTTTAGGCACAGCACAGAAACTGGTGACTGCAACAAGAATGGCTTCCCTGCGGAGCTTAAGTACTAGATAATAAATAAGCCAACAACGTCATACAATAACTCCAGCCCAAGAGTCACATCCATAAACTGCCTCTGGCACCAAGTAAGCTTATTCACTGGCCATGGTCCATAAATAAATAAAGACGCATAAATAAATCTCAAAAGAGATCAACAAGTTGCAGAGGTTTTTTTTCTTTTTTTTTTTTTTTTTTTGCTTTTTGGGTCACACCTGGCGATGCACAGGGGTTACTCCTGGCTCTGCAGTCAGGAGTTACTCCTGGCGGTGCTCAGGGGACCATATGGGATGCTGGGAATCGAACCCCGGTTGGCCACATGCAAGGCAAACACCCTACCCACTGTGCTATCTCTCCAGCCCCTGCAGAGATTCTTAAGGACACCACAGAAGACTGAGTTGTCCGGGACATCCTGGAGGGGGCCAGATGAACCCAGCACCCGCCCAAACAAAGTGCAGGCAGTCAAAAACCTCCACACTCCACAATCACCATCATGGTCGCCACCGGACTTCACTGCTTGAAATGAGCCTCATCCAGAAATTAATCTGTTGAAAAACTCAGGTATGTGGGTTTTGTGACTGAATTCTCCAGGCTTTCATGGAGTTGGGGATGAGCTACCTCCCCATATTCTGGAAGCCCCAGTGAGTCACACATGCCCCAAAGCTGCCACCCAGTTAAAAACCTAACTCCAGCTATATCACCCCCTTATAAATTTTGGAATTCCTGGAGCGAATGGCTGTGAACACTGTTAAGCCAGGAGTAGCACACCGGATTGAATGGATGTAATGTAGAAGGCGACCAGTCTCGATTAACAAAATATAAACACAGGCTTAACTGTAACAGCATCTTAAATATAAACACAGGCTTAACGTGTAACAACGTTTTAGTAATCTCTTGTGTAAGGGCTTAATGGCTGTATGGTGAGATACAACAATCTTCACTAATATTTTTCTAAGGAAAGTGTTGATCTCAATATTTTAGCAAATTATGTATCACTGTATCACTGTCATCCTGTTGTTCGTCGATTTCCTCGAGCAGGCACCAGTAACATCTTCTTTGTCCTAGCCCTGAGATTTTAGAAAGTGCCACATTCAAGGCTCTTTCAGGGTCAGGAGAATGAGACCCATCATTGTCACTGGTTTTTGGCATATTGAATACGCCACGGGGAGTTTGCCAGACTCTGCAATGTGGGCAGGATACTTTTGGTAGCCTGCCAGGTTCTCCAGAGTAGGAACTAGATAATAAGATGTTGCGTGGCTGCGAATGCAAATTATTTATAACAAGCAATATAAAATAAATTACTGAGGAACTGCTATGGGGGCAGGCTTAAGGGGTGGTTGGGAAAATCAGAAATAATGGTGGGAAGGTACAATGGTGGTAGGACTGGTGTTGGAATATTGAATGTCTGTGACAAATCAGCATGAACAACTTTGTAAATCACTGTCACTGTCACTGTCCTCCCATTGTTCATCGATTTGCTCAAGTGGGCCCAGTAACGTCTCCATTGTGAGACTTGTTGTTACTGTGTTTGGCATATTGAATATGTCACGGGGAGCTTGCCAGGCTCTGCCGTGCGGGCGAGATACTCTCGGCAGCTTGCCGGGCTCTCCGAGAGGGGCGGAGGCATCGAACTCGGGTCGGCCATGTGGGCTGCGTGCAAGGCAAACGCCCTACCGCTGTGCTATGGAAATAAAATAACAAACTGGAAAAAAATAAAATAACTCTAGCATGAGAGATAACTTTAAGCAAAACAGTCATGTGGCAAGAAACAGGCAATGGAGGTTGGGTGGCCAAAGAGAGGCCTGCTGAGAAAATGTCATTTAGACTGAAACTTGAATGAATCTGGAGAATCAACTCAGCCTGTGCTTGGGGAGACAAGGACGTGGAATAAACAAGAGGACAAAGGGCAGTGGCAAAAACCTGAGGAAGTGGGGTTCGAAGGAGGCGCATGTGGACCAGAGGGATAGTACAGTAGATGAGGCTCTTGCCTGGGCCAGAGCTGGCTGCAGGGCCAACCTGGCTTCAGCCCCTGGCACCCCAAGTGGTCCCCCTGAGCCCTGCCAGGGGTGATCTCTGCATGCAGATCTAGGAGCAAGACCTGAGCAACATAGGTTGTGCATCCCCATAAAAAGAAAAGAAGGAAGGACCAGAGCAATAGTATGGTGGGTAGGGTGTTTGCCTTGCACACGGCCTACCCGGGTTTGATCCCCAGCATTTCATATGGTCCCCTGAGCACCACCAGGAGTAATTTCTGAGTTCAGAGCCAGGAGTAAGCCCTGAGCATCAAAAAGCAAAAAAAGAAAGAAAGGCAGGCAGGCAGGAAAGAAGGAAGAATACAGTGAGTAGGACATTTGCCTTGCATGCATCTGACCGGGTTCAATCCTGGCATCCCGGATGGTCTCCCACCAGGAATGATTCCAGAGCGCAGAGCCAGGATTCATCCCTGAGCACCACTGGTGTGGCCCAAAAACGAAAAGAAAATAAAAGAAATAAAAAGGAAAAAGGAGGTGCATACATTTAGCTTTTAACAATGCAGACCTGAACCTGCTTGCATGCTGACGGGAAGGAGCCTGCAGAAATGGAGATAGAGTGTGGGGAGGCGGCAGGAGAGGGACAGTACCCAGTGAGTCAGTGGGAGAGGGCAGCAGCTGGTAAAGCAGAGACCCCTCCTCATCACTCCCACTGTCCCTTGGGGGAAGATGTGGAAGGTGCCACTATGATGGGACAGCCGGGAGTACAGGGGGATGGTGACACAGACACCCAGGACTCTGCCAGGGGCACTCATCGTGGCTAAGTGATGCCCTCAGGACAGCGCCATAGGCTGTGTGCAGTCATACTGACCTCCCCAGAACTGACCCCTGAGCAGAGCCGGAGGTAGCCTGTGAACACTGTTGGGTGAGCCCCTCCCTCGTGCCCGCGCGCTCACACACACACACACACACACACACACACACACACATACACACACACACACACACACACACACACACACAAAATAAGTGAAAACTGCACGTGGCAGAATATTTCTCTGTTGCTCTGTTGCCCAGGCATAGGTGGGGCAGTTCAGGGCAGCGTGAGAAGGACTCAGAGGCACTTTGGGGTATGTGGCCCTGATGGGGATGAGGGTAGCTAATGGCAGAAGAAACTCAAGTTGGTGTGAAAAAGCGCCTCACACTTTCCATCTCCTGTAGAGAGACCTTTAGAACAGGGGCCAACAAGTTCTTCCATCATGGGAAGAACTTAAAGGTACCACCATAAGAGCATCCTTGACTCTCCATCCTTTACTCCCTTGACTCCAAGTGCACACACATACACACACATGCACACATATGCACATTCGCCCCTTCCCCCGTCTGACTCAGAATCTGTCCTGTTTCAGCCTCTACTCCTTTCTCCTCCTTATCTGCCACTGGGGCTGACTTACTGCGGCTGAAGGAGCGAATTCTGCGGCGGGGTGGCTCTCCAGAGTCCTGCCTCTAAACAAGAGGGAAAGGGGATGGGACTCAACACGTGGCCCTTGCACCCACTTTCTCTCAGGCCCTCGGCACTCAGGACCCCTCGCCACTCAGCCTTCCCCCACTGCCCTCCTTCCCATCTCAGGGAGGCGCCTCCACACTCTCCATCTCCTGTAGAGACGTGACCTTCAGAGCAGGGGCCAACAGAACAAACCGTTCTGCTGTTGGAGCTGGGTCTCCAGTGGGGAAACGGGGCCCCGAGGGGGCAAACTGAACCCCACACACCTTCTCCATCAATCAGGAACAGCCAAGACAAGCCCTGTCTTGACTCAGCAGCACCGCAATGTTGCTGCACCCATGGGGTTGGGGGTGGGGGTTACCTTTCTTTGGGTGATTTAGATGCTGGCCTGGAGGAAGGGGGGATGGGACTATAGGCCTTGCCCTTCAGGGTGTCCGTGGGCGTCTGGGCCATTGCTTCCTGAGATCTGTGCTTCTGTTCTCCCGGGTGAGGCTCCAGTGGTGCTTCCTGTGGTCAGGCGTGAGCGACACCTGCCTTCCTGTGCTCTTGTCACCCAGCTGCTGTCCACAGCTCTCCAGGGTGTCGAAACTGTTAGCTGCGCTACATCTGACCCATTTGCTGCCCAGTGATCTGGGGTAGGCTTATACTCCTGGCCCTGCTGAGGACAAGACACCAAGATGGGGATCCCCACCCTGTCTCCTGGGTGCACTTGAACACCACTCAAGGCTGTTTTCATCCACTTACTCTGCCCTAGGCCTGCGGGCATCCTGTGGAGTCCTCCCAGCACCCTCAAAGGCAGCACAGGCCCTGCACTGAGCGGAAAGGAAAGGAAGCCACGTGGGAGCACAACCTGTGCCTCTCTGCAGAGGCAGAATGGGAGCACGGAGCCTGGAACTCCTCTCTGCTGTGGGAAGGGTGCGGAGTTAGACCACACCAGCAGTGTTCAAAGGCTATTTCCAGCTTAGCGCTGAGGAGTGACTCGTGGAGGTGTTTTCCACGGAACCCTATGTGGTGCTGGGGATTAATCAGCTCAGCTGTATATGAGGCAAGAGCCTTACCCCTGTACTATCTCTCTGGCTTACAAGCCCTCTTTTTTGGGGGAAGGGGGGAGAGTAGTGACTCTGGCTGTGGTTAGGGCTTATTTCTGGCTCTGTGCCCTGGGTCACTCCTGGTGGGGTTCAGGGGACCATCTGTGGTGCCAGGGATGAACCCAGGTGGGCAACATGCAAGACCTTACCCCCTGCGCTATCTCTCCAGCCCCATAATTTACAAATGTTTTCTCCCAATCTGGGAGCTGTTTCCTCTCTTCTACTGTGCTTTTCTTAGAGCATTCTAATTTTGATCTAGTTTATCAAAGTTTTTATCTTGTTTTTTTTTCCCCTTTATGACTTACCTTTGAACGATCTCACCCTCGCTCCAAAAATCCTGCAAGGCTTAGTTGCTAGCTAAGAGTTTCTAGGATTTTCTAGCATCTAAGAAACTTGTTTGTCAAACCCTGCATGTCCTCATTTGATTTGTATGTGGGATAGGGGACTCCCCCTGCCTACCTCCAGCTGCCCCCTACCATGGTGCTCCTCTGCAAACAACTTATCAGTGAGCTGGGAACAAAAGTAGACTATCCAGAGTATGGGCAGGTTATGGCACCTTGAATGTCATTTTGACAAGGACAATGGTTTGCATCCCAGGCAATCCATATGGTCCCCGGAGCACTATCAGTTGTGGCTCCTGAGTGCAGAGCAGGAGTAAACCCTGAACTCAGTCAGGTGTGACCCCTTCGTCCACAAAAGAAGAATATCCAGAATACCCCCAGACACCTGCACATTCTGGCCACCTGACACCCCTCAGCAGGCAGAGTAGCGGTGAGTCCCAGGCTTCTTTGTCTCCCCCATGGTTGCACCCTGTGTATCCTCTGCACCCATTACCTGGAAGCTCCCAGGGGCATGGCCCTGCACCGTCCCTGATTCTGATGTCTTCTCTGCAGGTCCTCAGACTCCTTCCCTGGGCACTGTGCTAGTTGGTCATGTGCTGCAACACCCAGGCACAATTCTGAGCTTGGCCTGATCCTGGCCTGCTCGCACCTCTCTGGGCGTGTCCTGGGAGGCCAAGATGACAGCTTCTTCCTGGAGGAAACAGACAAAGGGCATCTTAGCGCCCAGACTGGCTGCATTTTACATTTATTTATTTAATTAATTTTTTTTAATGAATCATCATGAGATAGTTACAGACTTACAAACTGTCGTGATTATGTTTCAGTCATACAATGTTCAAGTTACCCATCCCTTCACCAGTGCCCATTCTCCACCACCAATGTTCCCAGTATCCCTCCTGCCACCCTCATCCCTTCCCACCTCTGTCTCTGAGCCAAAATCCCTTTTACTTTTTCTGTCCTTTTGGGAGTTATGGTTTGCAATACAGGTATACTAAGCATGCATTTTAGATGCATTGTCTTCTTTGGATAGCTAGAGCACTTGTACAACACTTGGCATACACCATAGACCTGAAAAGAACAAATGAGCAACTGATAGTAGTTCTCTGGATTACTGACACTATGTCAGGAGATGGGGGGAAGAGAGAAAGAGAGGGAGAGAGAGGAGAGAGGGAGAGAAGAGATAGGGAGGGAGGGAGGAAGGAGAGAGGGAGGGAAAGAGAGAGAGGGAGGGAAGAAGAGAGAGGGAAGGAGGGAGAGGGAAAGTCACACCCAGCATTGTTCAAAGCTTACTTCTGACCCTGCATTCAGGAATCACTCCTGGAGGTACTTGGGGAGCCATATTCAATGGTGAGATTGAACCAGAGTTCACTTGCAGGGCAAGTACCTTAACCCTTCACCCCTTTAGTACCTCTCAAGCCCTAAATGTCAATATTAAGGGGGACTAAAATTTAATTTTTTGGATCACATCTGGTGGTGCTCAGGGAATATGCCTGGCTCTGTACTTAAAAATTATCCCTAGGGGGACTAAGGGGATCATAGGGATGCTGGGGATTGAACTGGGTTTGGCCACTTGCAAGGCAGATGCCTTACCCATTGTACTACTGCTCTGGACCCTAATATCTATTTTTTATTTTATTTTATTATTATTATTATTATTTTGATTTTTGGGTCACACCTGGTGATGCTCAAGGGTTACTCCTGCTTCTGCACTCAGGAATTACTCCTGGCGGTGCTCAGGGGACCATATGGGATGCTGGGAATCGAACCTGGGTTGGCCGCGTGCAAGGCAAACACCCTACCTGCTGTGCTATCACTCCAGCCCCCAATATTTTAATTTTATTTATTATTTTCTAGATAAAAAAGAGAGAGAGAGATTGAAAATTTTTTTAACAAAAATGTTTCTTTAATGGGAAAAAGAAAATAAACGCCAGCCTGGATTTTAAAAACACACATTATAAGGAAAAGGAACAAATACAGATATTAGAGGTAAACAAAAATGGAGTGGTTCCCATCAGTTTAATAAGTCTTCTTTAAATAAAATTCTAAACTATGTCTTTCAAATCGCAGGAAAACAGTCCCATAAATACAGAGGTCAATATATAAGAAGAGATGAGAAGGAAAGAATATAGCATATATGTGATAAGTCTAGATGAATAACAACATTCTTCCCAGAATAATAATAACAACAGATAGTATATGTGTTTAAAATAAGGCAAAATTAGTAATTTATACTAAAGCAATAATGTCAAAGTCAGGGTAAAAGTAAGCGGATCTTTCTGATATTCTTGTATTGTATAGGAGGAAGTAAAATTCATTGATTAACTTCATACTTGATAAGCTAAGAGTTTCTACTATAATTTCTTTTTTTAAGAAGTTTCATTGGATCACTGTGAAATAGTGAGATACAGTTACAAACTTGCATGATTGCATTCCAGTTAAATAATGCTCGAGCACCCATCCCTCCACCAGTGCACATTTTCCACCACCATTGTTCCCAGTGTCCCACTCGCCACCCGCACCCTACCCCACTCCCTGCCTCTGCGGCAGGTACAATCTTTCTTACTCTCTCTCTAATTTTGGGCATTGTGATTTGCAATTCTATTATAATTTCTAAATGTCAATATCTAAAATATGGAGTATACAAATTCAATTGTTGATAAAGAAAAATGGAATTATGAAAGCAATTAATATGAAGACACGGAAAAAAGAATAATAAAAAAGGTAGAACTGGGCTGGAGCAATAGTAACAGCGGGTAAGGTGTTTGCTTTGCACACAGCTGACCAAGTTCGATTCCCAGCATCTCATATAGTGATCTGAGCACTGCCAGGAGTAATTCCTGAGTGCATGAGCCAGGAGTAACCCCAGTACCCCAGTGCATGGACGGGTGTCACCCAAAAAGAAAAAAAAAGGTAGAACAAGTAGAAAAACAAATACATCCCTGTCAGTTTGAAACCCAAGTATTTTCAGATATTTTGTAATTTGACATACTCAAATAATGAAAAAAAAAAGACATTCAAACAAGAATTCTATACCCAGAAAAACTATTTCCCAAACACAATATTCCCAAACAAATAAAAATTAGGAGGATAAATCATCAGAAAACTAAAGACAAATTATATATTACACAGAAATTTAATAAGGAGATGTTTAAACTAAACGGAAAGAACTCAAAGTCACAGAAAAAATAAAAGTATCGCACAGACATAACATTCATTGTCTAACGTTCATTATCTAACGTTCATTGATTTAAAGAAGGCCTTTGATTATGTTGAGACTGAAGCGGTCATCGAAGCCTTAGCCAAACAGGGCGTTCAAACTCACCACCAGGATCTCACCATTCTACAAGGAAGTGATCATCAACGTAAAGAGAGAGGTCAGGCAGGATGATACCATCTCACCGAAACTCTTCAGTGCCACCCTCGAAAATGTCATACAATGACTGGAATGGGAAGAAATGGAGTGAAGATAGACGGTTGGCAACTACACCACCTCTGCTTTGCTGATGACATCGTTCTAATAACACCAAACATTAGCCAAGCAGCACAAATGCTGGCCAACTTCAACCGAGTGTGGAAAGGTAGGACTGCAGCTGAATCTCACCAAGACAATGTTCATTAAAAATGAAATAGTCCCTGACGTTCCATTTGCTCTCAACGGAATGAACATCTCCAAATGCAGCAGCTATGTGTACCTGGGTCGAGAACTCAACATGAGGAATGACTTGGTGCCAGAACTACACAGGAGGAAGAAAGCTTCAAAAGCATTGAAGAAGTTGTTAAGAGGACAAAGAGCCTCCAGCTCCGGGCACGTCTTTTCGACTCCACTGTTCTTCCTGCACTAAAATACACCTCAGAGACCTGGGCCCTACAGAAATAGGACGAGAATGCTATTCAGGTTTCCCAAAGAGGAATCGAAAGAGCTATGCTTGGAGTATCACACTTCACTCAAGTGAGAGAAGGAATCCGGAGTTCCGACCTCTGCCAGCGATCAAAGATCAGGGACACTGCCTCGTTTGCCAAGGTGTCAAAAATCAGATGGGCCAGACACGTAATGCAATTTGGAGACGACCGTTGGACTAGAGCCGTTACCTACTGGATTCCCTGGGACATCAAAAGAACACCTGGCCACCCACCTACGAGATGGTTGGACTTCTTTGTCAAGACCCTGAACAAACGGTTTGATGCTCTTCATGTTCCTGGAATGAGCAGACGCCATTGGGCTACATTAGCACACGACAGGGTCAAATGGAGATGTTACTGGCGTCCGCTCGAGAAAATCGACGAACCATGGGATGACAAGTAATTACAAGTAATATTTCTATTTGCAACCTTTCCCTCCTGAGGACATGCACAAGGCTATACTTTTAAAATTTGTGCTGATAGGAAGGAGAAGATGTACACTCTGCATAACAATAGCAATACAAATAGCAGCAAGGACAGGAGCACAATAGGAATAGTTTTCTAACCAACTGAAATTAACTTAGTAAAAATTAGGTTATTATAAACTAAGATACTAAACATAACCCTGAGTAATCTTATTTTGAAAGAAGATAACTTAAAAACATAGTGAAAGAAGCAACAAAAAAAATTAAAATGGTACAACAAAGATATTTAAACTTGAAAAGACTTATTTAAAACACAAAGCAGCAACAGAAGAGTAAATAACAAAGAAGACAAGCCACATAGAAAATATTGCCGATAGAGAGGCTGGAGAGATAGCATAGCGGGTAGGGCATTTGCCTTGCACGCGGTCGACCTGGATTCGATTCCCAGCATCCATATGGTCCCCTGAGCACCACCAGGAGTAACTCCTGAGTGCAGAGCCAGGAGTAACCCCTGTGCATTGCCAGGTGTGATGCAAATATATATATATATTACCGATAGAAAGAGAGAGATAGTACAGTTGGGAAGGTGCTTGCCTTGCACGAGACTGGTCTGGATCTTCGAGAGATTGAAATTTGGGATTTCAAAGGACTGAGAACTTTGAGCCCAGGCTCCAAAGGCTGAAGTTGAGGGGCTGGAGTGATAGCACAGCGGGTAGGGCGTTTGCCTTGCAAGCAGCCAACATGACCAACACAGGTTCGATTCCCAGCACCCCATATGGTCCCCTGAGCACTGCCAGGAGCAATTCCTGAGTGCATTAAAAAAAAAAAAAGAAAGACTGAAGTTGACAGGGCTGGAGAGATAGTTCAGCAGGTAAAGGAACTGACCTTACCTTAAATCACCAGCATCCCATGTGGTCCCCTGAATACTGTAGGAGTTATTCCTGAGCACAGAGCTAGGAGTAAGCCCTCAGCACTGATGGATACAGAAAAGAAAAAAAAAAGGTTAAAGCTAAAGTTGATATCTCAGGATTTAAACCTGTGTCTCCCTGAAATCACCTTCATGTTCTGGAGTGTCTCCCTGGGCTTCTAAAACTAGATGTTCATTTTCAGAGGGGAGTGCTGTGGGGCCCATACCCAGCAGTGCTCAGGGCTTACTCCTGTCTCTACACTCAGAGAACTCTCCTGGAAGGGTTCGGAAGACCAGATGGGGTTCTGGGAATTGATCTCAGTTGTCCATGTGCAAGGCAAGCATCCTTCCCATGGAGTGGTACTATCGCTCCAGCCCAGTTCATCTTTTTTCTTTTCTTTTACCTTTTTGGACCATACTCTATGATGCTCAAGGGTTACTTACTCCTGGCTCTGAGTTCAGGAATTACTCCTGGCAGCGCAC